GTCCCTGGCAGCGTGGAAGCCATCTCGGGTGTGGGGCTCGCCTGGGCTGGAGGCAGGTGAATGTGGAGGCGGGACCTCAGATATATGGGAATACCGGTCTCTGGATGTTTTTTTCTGCTGGGAGCTCCAGCCCCCGCAGCGGGGGTGAGGGTGTGGGGGGTGTGGGGTTGGGGAGCTTGGGAGGCTTGGGGGGTGGGGGGTTGGTCCTCCAGGTGTGGGGCACAACTGCATGATCTGTATTTGAGAGCCTGATGTGTATCTGTGTGATGCAGCAATCTGTGGGAATGAGCGAGGCCGTGACCATGTGTGTGTTGCTCTCCTGATGTCACCCACATCCTTCAACCTGAGACCCCATTGCTGCCGAGCTGGTATCACCCGTGTATCTTGAATGGCCACAGACCTTGGGGGCTGGCCTGATTTCTGTCCCCCTTAGTGTGTTGGAGGTGTCAGCATCCTGTGTCAGCACTGAGCACCAAGAAGCCCCTCCTGGGTTGATGGCATACAGCCACCCAGGGCAGCTTACAAGCAGAAACCTGTTGCTGCCCCTCCCTTCTGGTGGAGTGTGGTTGTATGTCAGGGATGGCTTTAGGACAAAACTGGACCCTTAGAGTCCGAGAAGGGAGAGGGCCTTTAACCCAAGTTGTTTTTCTCTTTTTTTTTCCTTTTACGAAATATATTAACCAAGGCTGTTTTCCTTTACCAGTTTGATGGGCAAATTAATGATAGAAACAAAAATAGATATATGATGCAAGTAACGAGTTTGTATCTTTTTCCTTGTCTAGGGACAGAGGCGGCACTTCGGCAGGATACCCAAGACGCCATCTTAAGGCAGCGAGAGAAAGAGCTCCAAGAAACCCGCAACAGGCAGGGACTACAACCCTCCTCCACAGGAAGCAGATACAGAAGAAAATTCCAGTCCCTCAACTTTCATACTAACAAAAAGGGGGTTAATGACTCTTAGAAAAAGGTTAGGCAGAAAAGTTAGTTAGGGGATTTTGGGTCTGCCTGAGAAAATGCTGAGGTCATCCTATTCTAGAAAGGGTCCACCCTAGTCTGCCCACAATTAAGCAAGCCAGAGGGCCTTTTTGGGCTAAAAGTAACTCATACAAGTAAGCAGAAAATTGGGTACTCGTTTCAGCCAGTCACTCACACCTGCACAATGAAGAGCCCAATGACCTTCAACCTACCTGAACTCCATTATACCATCATTATAATAGGATGCATATGCCCGGAAGTTCATTAATATCATTATAGCTGACAATTCTGGCAACAAATATGTGCAGAAAACAAACAATGAGTTACTGAGTCCTGTCAGCAATAGTTGTCAATCAAGAAAGCCCACCCCTCTAAGAAAAGTTACCACCCACAGCAAATAGGGATAGAAACCCCAAAGACTTTGTTACTGTGCCCTTGAGCCTTTTGAGCCTCTCTTCTCTTCCTCAGCCTGCTTCCACATCTGGAAGTGTACTTCTTTACTTTCCCTTCTAATAAAGCTATTCTTTTCTGCTGTATTTTGGTGTCTTGCTCAACTCTTTGTTTGAGACATCAAGAGCCTGGACAATGTGCTGAGAAGGGAACTCCACTCTTCAGTAACACCAACACCAAACACACCAGCCGGGAGAGCAGATGAGTGAGGCTGGACCCAGGAATGCTGCTCTCATCTTACCATGGTGAGGGCAGTAGTGGGGCGCACCCGCGCTTGGCTCCACTGGAGCTAGGGTGGAGTCAGGGAAAGGGAAGTACCAGGAGCTCTGGACCTACTGCCTGACAGGAGCTGCTGCCACTTTGCCTTCGGCCAAGATGGCGGCCCTGAGCCCCATCTCCAACCAGATACTGCATGGGTCAAAGGGCGGAGGGCAGGGTGCTGTGGGGTGGGGAAATTGTGCATGCAAGGATTTGAAGGAGGCTTGGACGAGGAGGCGTGGGGCTTCCCTCTAGCCATGGAATGCCGTGCTCTGTCCCTTCACATTTTGTCAGTGCCCTCCTTTAATTTGTGACACCTCTTACAGTTTATAAAGCTCTCACAGCCACTATATCATTTAATATACAAAATAACCCTGTGTGCATAAGGAACTAATATCCAGAATATATAAAGAAGTCTTACAACTCAATAATAAAGACAATCCAATTTTAAAATGGGCAAAATAGACGTTTCTCAAGAGAATATACAAATGACCAATAAGCCTATAAAAGATGCTCCTTAGTTCTTAGAGAAATACAAATCAAAATCATGAGATATCACTTCACATCTGCTAGGATGGTTGTAGTAGTAATGTTGGTGAAAATGCAGAAAAATTAGAACCCTCATACACTGCTGGTAAGAATGTAAAATAGTGCAGCTACATGGAAAAATAGTTTGGTAGTTCCTCAAAAAGTTAAGGTTGCCTATGATCCAACAACTCCACTCCTTGGTATATACCCAAGAAAATTAAAAACATATTCACACAAAAGAGTGTACACTAATGTGCATAGAAGCATTATTCATAATAGCCAAAAAGTAGAAACAATCTAAATGTACATAATAAATGAATGGATGACAAAATGTGGTATATCTATACAATGGAATATTATTCAGTTGTAAAAAGAAATAAAGTACTGATACATTATCATGGATGAACCTTGAAAAATATTATGTTAAATGAAAGAGGTCAGTCACAAAAGACCACATCTTACATGATTCCATTCATACGAAATGCTCAGAATATGCAAATCCATACAGATAGAATGTAGGGCTGTAAGGAGATAAGAGAGGGGAGGAATGGGAAGTGAGGTTTATTTTTTGGAGTGATGAAAATATTCTGGAATTATATAGCGGTGGAGGCTGTACAACTCTGTGAATAAACTTAAAAACCACTGAATTATACACTTTGAACAGGTGAGTTTTTATGGCTTGTAAATTGTCTTTTTTTAAAAGTGTGCAGGAATCAGGGCAGTTGCTGTGTTTATGTTTATTTTGTAGGTGATGAAAATGATGACAAATTTAAAAAATTTACCCAAAGTTCTAGGCCAGTATATAATGGAAACGAGAATCAAATTCAGTCTTGTAATTCTGTAGGTAGTTCTTCCATGCCAAATGTCAGACTTAGGGCATGCATGAATCAGCAGTTCTTCCCTATATCATTTTATCTCATTCACCGGCTCAACTCTAAAGCATTCGTCCACTGCTGCAATAATGGATAAACAGCAAACTTTTAGTGAGTGATTATTTTGTGTCCCTTACAACAGTCCAGATAGGGATGTTGAGGATCAAAGAAGTTAAGCACTCGCCCAGACTCACACAGCCAATAAGAGACAGAACCAGGATACAAACCCAGCTTTTCTCATTATGATACACCTGCTTGTCTATATTTCCTGTGTATTTCTTAATGTTTATTGAGCACTTATAATGTACTAGGCGTTACTCTAAATTCTTCACACAGATTATCTCATTTAATCCTCACAAGAATTTTCTGAGATAGGAACCATTGCTATCTTTATGTTACCAGTGGGGAAACCAAGGTAAAAAGAGGACACTTTCTATCTCAGGTCTCAGGGCTAGAAAGTAGCAAAGCTAGGATTAGAACAAAGGCTGCTCAACTTCAGAACCTGCATCCGTAAGCACTGCACTATAGAATTCTCACTCTTACTCATTTCAAATCTATCTCCAGTGGCTTTCTAAAAGAATCATTGCAAAGCTCCCATATTTTAAAACTGCATGTCTGGAAGGATATATGCCAAGCTGTATTTGTTATTATTGTTGTTGTTATAAAAACTACATGTATTTTTTAAAAGATGAACAAATTCCTAATTTAAAAAAAATTTAAAAATCATGCCTGGAATTATTGCTTTATTGTGGCAGCTTCCAGGGGCCTCCAGTGTGGACCACGGAAGTTCTCAAAAACCAGTTGATACTGATTCTTCAAACATGACATTAGCTGAATTAAAATGCATTTAAAAAGCACCTCTGCAAGCATGCTTTTTGATGACTGCCTTAGAGGCAGTAGTCATAATGGTTAAAAGCAGATACTTAGGAATTAGACTGACCTGTGTTTGACTGCTGTATTTGGCACTTACAAGCTGAGTGACTTTAGGCAAGTTACAGTAATTCTCCTAAGCCTCAGTTACCTAACCTGTAAATTGACAGTAACATCTTTCTCCTAAGGTTGTGATGTTAGATAATATAGTGAACAATATAACCCACATAAGTACTCAACAATACATATCCATTGTTATTAGCAATAACAGGCGACAAAAGTTTTTGTTTGTTTGTTTTTGTTTTGTTTTGTTTAATGTTTTGCAGTTCCATTTTTAACCAAAAGAGTTTCAAGAGTCTCAGAAGAGGTGTATTTCATTTTCCTTTTTAAAGCCACTTTCCGCTTTCCTCTGGCAGGTTTTCAGAGTCAAATTTCCAATATTCTTGTCTTTGTTTCTTTCTCTCTGACTCTCCAAATTAACTATATCTATAGTTTGAAACATTTGTTCCTTTTATTCGCTCTTTCATTCATCCACCCAATGACCATTTTTAAAGCACGTAATTTATGCAACGCACCGACGCTATGAAGATCTTAAAAATTAATTAGACACAGACCTTGGCCTAAAGAAGCTCAGTCTTTTTTAGCAAATAAAAATAGCAAGTTAAATTAGAATCTCATATAAATAACGAGTCATTTGTTAGCATACTTACATCCCCCGCAATGGGACACCGCGGAGGGAAGGGACTATAATGCAATATAAAGGACGAACAAAGAGATTCCTTAGATATTCTGCCTAAATTTTGATTAGACTGGTTTAGGAAGAACTGCATGACTAATAGTACTTGTCCTAGAGGGCGAAATACACACGGTATTTCCAGATTGAAGGGCTAAACTATGCGAACCGAAATTCATCCGCCAGCTTTGCCACCCGTGGCCGCTGGATGCCGCCATAGACGCATTTGCTGAAACCATAGACAAAGCGGCGTCCTAATCGCCTAGAGAGGCTTTTCTCCGAGCCGCTCTTGCTCCTCCTTGGATCATCCCCTGGAATAGACGTAACGCGCGAATGAGTGGAGAAGGTCTCACGAGAGTGAAAGGAAATCTCGCGATTTTAAAAATTTATTTATTTTTACCTAGCAACTGAAAACAGTCAGTTACTCCAAGTAGAATCTCTAAAGTGACCTGACCTGAAATTGGAGTGAGACCCCAGCCCTAGGCTGGGGTTCTTTCCATACAGAGGAGACGGATTCAGAGGGGCTGCAGGTAATTCGCACTCAACATAGCAGAAAGAGAACTTCCTTTCTGCCTCCCAAGAAGAATTTAAGGGGACTCCCCTTCCCTCCTTTCCATCCCCCACTCCAATCTCTTCTCACCTCCATGACAACTGTTCCTTCTCCCTTTCCTTCACGCTGCCACCAACCATCCTGCTTTTTTAACTTCCCAAGAAACTTAAGAGGAATCCGACCTGCAAGACGGGGGCGGAGGTGGAGATGGGGTGATGCTTTCGGGATTATTGGATGAGACTGAGAGACTGGAGTTTACCCTCTCTTCTGTAAACGTGGTAACCCCAGAGACAGAACTCTTTCTAGAGCCTTTACAGCCTTCCCTGAGAAACCCCAACAACCTTGGGAAAACTGAGGGAACCTAAGGAGAGAGACGCCATCTACAGACGAATACTGTTCTGCTGGCGCGCGTGTACGTTAACAGCTTTGGGGCGCTGGTGCAGAAGTTAGCTGTCGTTTCCCTCCATGATTCCCTTCCCTCCTTCCTCAGCGAGTCTGTCAACAGTTCCTAAATAAGGGCTGCAGCAAAATGATGTAACTGCTTGACCTCGGGCCAAGAAGCCTTAAAGGGAAGTTTGAATGGGAGAGAAGTTTTCATGTAAAACTGGTCTCTTGGGTGAGAAAGAGGACCAATGCTGGTTTTGAATCGCACCTCTCCATAGAGTGCTTAATGTCCTGTGATATGAGCTATGTAATGTTATGTCCTTTTGCTTAGACCAAGATTGTTGAAAACCAGACATACGATGAGCGTCTAGAGGTAAACGACCCTGAAGAGATTGCAAGCATTTATACTCCAACCCCAAGACACAGAGGTAAGAGAAATGAAGAGGAAAGCAGAAAAATGGTTCTCAGAAAAAAGGTCAGGATGGATTCATGATTGTAATAGCAAATGTTGGCTTTCAGAGTCAAGTTACTTCACTTGCTATAGTTTCTGTTTTCTAACTAGTTAAGGGGGAAGAAAACACAGCTACTCAGGTTGCAGGATCTTCCTCTTTCTTGATAGGTGTTTCCTAAAACACTTCATGATACTGCTCTGCTCACAATCTGCCAGGGGTTCTTTTTTTTTTTTTTTTTTAACTTATCGAAACTGTTCTGCTCAGTTTTGAAAATGCTTTTGAATGCACACTATGTGTCAGCCTTATGCTTGGCACTATGTGTACAGTATTAAAAGAGATATCGATCCTGCCATCCTGATGGTGGTAATCATGAGAGACAGATGACAGATGAATAGACAGACATAATTACAAATGTGGTAAGTGCATTGATACAGGCCAAGAGTTTGACGTTATGACTAATGATGGTGAGGAGTGGGATCTACTTTTGGTAGAGTGGTCAGGGAAGACTAAGGAGGTGACATCTGAGATTGAAAGATGAGAAGGATCCAGACATAGAGGAAAAGTAGAACAGTAAAAGGGAATAGCAAGTGAAATGTAGAGAGGCCCTAAGGCCAGAAAGAAGTTGGATTAGTTTGAGGACTTGAAAGAGACTAGTACATGATAGGAGGGGGTGATATCAGAGTAGGCAGGCAGGAGGTAGGCAGGCAGAGGAAGGCAGGAAGCATAACAAGCAGAGCTTTAAAGGCTGTGCTGCTGTTACTTGTGGAATGAACTGAAAGGTGCAAAGATGAAAGGGAACCAGTTGGAAGGACTTGCAATCGGTGAGCTGAGGTGATAGTGGCTTGGATGTGGTAAGGAAGTTGAGACTAGAGAGAAGAATCACTAAGACTTGCTCATGGGTTGGATATGGCTATAGAGTTAGGAATCAAGGATGACGTCCAGGTTTGTTTGTTGTAAATATATTTAACATAAAATTTACTTTTTTAAGTGTACAATTGAGTGACATTAAATAAATTCATATCATTGTGTAACTATCTCTACTATTTCCAGAACTTTTTCATCCTCCTCAACAGAAACTGTACCCATTAATTCCTCATCCCTCTCTACCCCCCAGCCCATATTCTATTCTGTTCTGTTCTATTCTATGCTATGCTATTCTACTTTGTCTCTATAAATTTACCTATTCTAGGTATTGCATAAGTGGAATCATACAATATTTGCCCTTTTGTATCTGGCTTATTTTATTTAGCATAAGGTTTTCAAAGTTCATCTATTCTGTAGCACGTGTTAGATTTTTCTTTCTTTTCTTGGCTAAATAGTATTCTGTTGTATGTATAACCAACCACATTTGTTTATCCATTCATCTGTTGATAGACACTTGGGTATTTCCACCTCTTGGCTGTTGTGAATATGCTACTATGAACATTGGTGTCCAAGTATCTGTTTGACCCCTTGCTTTCAATCTTTTAGGGAGAGAGAGGGAGAGGGAAAGGGGAGAGGGGAGAGGGGAGAGGGAGAGGGATATATATATGTATATATATGTATGTATATGTGTATGTATTTTATATATATGTGGGTATGTATACACACACACACACACGTGTGGGTGTGTGTGTGCGTGCACGCGCATGCCTGGACACCCAGGTTTTTGAGTCGAGCATGTTTTTAATCTTGCCAACTGTGGACATGATAATTTGTTTTCAGTTTGGGCAATTTAGTAGGCCGAAAAATGGGGTTTAATTGGCATTTATTTGATTTAGAAATCATGCCAATTAATATCCTACCTCTGGTTATGCTTTTGGAATATTTCTAGTTAATTGTTCAGAATATTTTTATTGCTGTTATCTTACGGGCACTGATTCAGACTTATATATGTGACTATAATTTGTCAGGAGCTGGGTCAGTTCCTTCCATCTAAGGTTTTTTTTATTTGATCCTTACAACAGTCCTGAGTGAGAAATATTACTGAACTCATTTAGAGGTGGAAATACTGAGACTCAAAGAGGTTAAGTCATTATGTCCAAGTGGTACAGTTGTTTTTCAAACTCAGCCTTCTGACTATAAATCCAGCACTCTTTTTCACTTTACTAATTACTAACCTCATTTTACCATTGCATAAACTAAGGGATGATTTTATGCTATTTATGTAATGGCAGATAATCAATTAATATAATGTCCAACCAAATACCTTAAGTATAGTAATGCTTAGTAAACATATGTTGAATCGAATTGACAGAGCCATGGTATTCATATAAACCCTGTTCCACAAACAGAGCATAAAATATAAACTAATAATATTTGTCTTTAAAAATCATTTTAACAATAACCTAAAGGGAAAACTTTTCTTCTAAGGACTTCCTCATTCTGCCCATCCTCCTAACGAGACTATGGCTGATAACAGCAGTGATGAATATGAAGAGGAAAATAATAAGGTGTAGTATAACCCACAGCTTCTTGTGGAATTTCTGCTTTGATTTTTTAGTAGTTATTTTGAGATGACACCAGTTCAGTAGTAAACACTTCTTGAATACTCACCTCCAGGGGTCGGGTGCCTTTGAGCTCATGGAGGACAATCAGGAAGAAAGAGCCTTAAGATTTTGATTGTTCCTTCAGGAATAAAGCCCACTATTACAGCCGACTTTTTGGTGAGGAATTCCCTACAATGTAGGCCAGTGTTTTGCAAATTTTACTGGTCATAAAAATTAACTGGGGGGTACTTAATTTTTAAAAATGAAGATTCCTAGCCCCCACCTAGAACTACTGAATCAGAGTCTTGGAGGTAAAAGCTTGGGAATTTATATTTTTGGCAAGCGCTCCAGGTAAGTCTCATAATAAAGCAAGTCTGGAATTGTTTAGGCATTTGTTTAGGCATTTGTTCATTGTCAGCACTTGTGGTACTGCCAAATATTTTGTGAAAGAGACTTTAATTTTGAAGTCTTAAGACCCAGATTTCACTTTATTGTTATTCTGTGAACCTAGACAATCACCCTATTTCTGAAGGAAAGATGGAAAGATGCCTATAGTTCTAGCCAAATAGGAACTTGAAGTTGCACATGTGCTCTGCTTAGCAGCCATTGTGTTCAGCCTTAGCACATCGTCCAATGTTATTAGTTATCCTTCACTAACAAGTTTTGAAAACTCAGGTGAAGAAGGATATTTAAAGTAATGCAGAAAGCTGTAGTAATGCAGACTGTCATGAAAAGCCTAAGGTAGCCTCACTTTACGACTACTGTGCTGTTTTAACGTCTAACCCACAAAGTAAATTTTTAGGCATTTGTCTGTAGTATATAAAGTCCTCTGTCTTTAGATCAGGGATTTTGCAAAGCACAACTTTGAAGGAGCAGACAAAAGAAAAGTAAACAATTTTCCTAAATTGATCTCTTGATTTTGTATATTCTTCCTAAATTTTTCTAGTCTTCATCATGATGTGGTCAATATTCAAGGCTCATTTATGTTTCTAATTTAGTATGCACCCAGAATCAGCAAAAAGAATCCATTTTTGAATAATCTTTAAATTGACAATAATCTTAAAAACATCCCTTTGTCAAACTTCCATGTGAATGAGGGTAATTTTGGCAGGTTTTGAATTAGGGAAGAATACTACAGAAGATTTTTATCAATTGTATACCAATAAGGCTTAGTTACTGAATAAATTCTGCAACTGTATGTCATATGTCACACATATTACAGATTAGTTAAAATATAATTTTTACTAGGTATAATAAATTTGTGTTATGCTTAGAGGAAAATGTGACCGAAAGCAATGTTCGATGTCCTGCAGTGTGTTACAATTTTATGTGCCAATAGCTGCTTTACTGTAAAAGAAATGTTAAATAATTTTAAAAACTAGAATCAATTATCTGTTAACCTCAATCTAAGCTATATGGCATATGGAAACTAAGCCATCAAAACCTATCTTTAAAGGGGGTCAATTGGTCATCCCTTAGGTCCTAAGTGAGGGCATGCCACAGGCTCCAGGCCACAGAAGCAAAGATATGGACCCCGTCCCAACTGCTCCTGCAAGTCCCAAGCGTCACCAGACTCCTCATGGACTTGAGAGGGTGGGATGGTACATAGAGAATCAGAAGCTCAGAAAGGTAGGTTGTAATGCTAGTAATAGAAGACTCTCTTATCTTGGGATATAATGTGTACTCATTGCATTTAAAAACCTATGGAGAAAGGGAAATATGAATTGGTCAGATACTCACTGAAAAGAATGGAAATAGAAAACCCATAGTCTCTGGAAGTGCTGGTTAGAATTCAGGTATGGAGCTAATTATGAACAAGTAGCTTACTCTAGGCAGTCTTGCAAATTCGAAACTAGATTTCCTCCATGTGATCTTTGTGAGTATTAAGATCCCCTAAAGCTTGTCTTCCCTACTTCATCTTCCCATATTTCATCCCAAAATAACTATTTAGAGTTGCCTTTCTCCAAAAGTCCCTCAGTTTTAGAGTTGAAGCCAACTGGATAGTTTATGCAGAGTTCTCAGGATCTCCTAAGTAATAGGTAAAATAGGTACATATTGGATAAAATTTATATCAAGTTGAGAAATAGAATATAGTTATAGAAAATGGGGACGCGGTATATAGCTAATCAGAAGCAGAAATAGGTTCTCGAGGCCCTCCGGGGGAGTGCTACTTTCTCTTTCTGGTGATGTGGTACCAGGTGAGAGGGTATTGGTTAGAGCACTAGGAGAGTACTGGGCATAGATATACTAAATTTCTCTTTATATGGACCTTTCTGTGCCTATCCTGCCCTATCGGAGGAGAAAAAGAAGAACTCACAGGTAACACCTCAAAGGGGCTTTAGCGAAAATGATGATGATGACGATGACGATGATGATGACGATGATGATGATGACGATGATGACTCATCTGAAACTGATTCTGATGAAGATGATGATGAAGCGCATGGAGCCCCTCTGGAAGGGTGAGGAAAGCCCCTCTGACAAGAAGGAAAGCACCTTCAAAACACTGGACAGGGAAGAGAGCTGTTAAAAGTGAAATCCCAGCATCTCTTTTGATCACCTCTATTTAGGATTTTCAGATGTCTCAGAAACCAACGTAATGAGTTTTCATTCTTTTCTGGTCCCACTGCCTCATTGAATCCTATGATGTCACTTGTATACTTGAAACATTTGTGGGCTCAGGGATTTCACAAGGATTTTCTGAGTAAATCTAAAAGATGGCCCCCGACTTCAGGGAGTTCACATTCTGGGAAAAAGAAAATAAATTTATATACATATCAAAGCATTTCTATTTAGCAAGGAAAATATATATGCATTTACTTTAAAATCTAAGTATTTCTATTTTAAGCTCATATTCTTTTTGGACAAGCAGAGAAAGGGCGCTTCAGGAGCCCCACATTGAGACAAAATGTTCCTGAATGACGCTTAAGTAAAAATTCTCCTCACCCTGTTCTGGGCCCTGGTGTTAGATTAATCATGTCTCACCCCTATAGGTTTTAATCAAAGTGTATTCTAAGGCACCTCCATTTAAAATACAATTACTAGTTAAATAAATGATGGTGTAGCCAATCAGAATTCTATCTAGCCATTGAAAAATATGAGGCAGCACTCTGCACTGGTAAAGAACAATCTCCAAAAGATAAATGTTAAATTTTTAAAAGGTATGGAAGAATTTATGCTTTGCTCCCATGTGTATAAAGCAGATATTTCATAGACCATTTCTAGGATACACTAGAAAATAATAATAGTGATTATTTTGGGGAGGGGAACTTGGTGGCAAGGGGACAGATGGACGAGAGACAGGACTTTTCAGTGTATACATTTTGTACCTTTTATTTTGTATCTATACATTCATCATTTATTAAATAAACTAATAAAAATAAAAATAGTCACTTTTGGATTATCCACCTATTGGTAGACACTAAGTAAATTAGGCAAATGTTGAATACCAGACTGACTTTTCATGCTTCCCTATTTACTTTATGATCATATCATGCTTCCATAAATTATAATCAGGGGAAATGTAAACTTTCAGTCATTAATCTGTTTCATTCTTTGTTAAACAACTCTCCCTAGAACAACCTTATTAATAACTTTCCAAGTCACTTATACACTCTGCCAATGTTCATTACATTTTACTTAATTATAATTGATGTGCCCTTTTTTACTGTATGCATTTCATATATCACTACAAGTATTTTTTTACTAACTATATAATATTCAACTTGACATATCTAACCATTACTCAGATGTTGGATATTTTGTTTCTAACTTTTTACTTTTATAAATAACACCAAAAAACATCATTGTGAAAATTCCTGTTTTCCTTGAGGCAGACCGTTTTAATGCCATAAATTAAAACCTCATTACATCTTTTCTCTTCATCCCTGTCATTCAAAAAAAGGGAAAACAATTTCTGCTACGTTCTAAAAATGCAAGAATTATGTTTTCGATTTTCTACAGCACTGTTCTTTATTGTCAGAGATAACTGAGAGTTAATTATAATAAATTTCGAAGTTACCTTGCAAACCATGCAGGAAAGGCAGAAACTAGGTAACAGAGTCACATGCCCTGTGGTCAGAGTAACACACAGGCTGAAGCAGGGCTCAGTGACAGCCACTCTTCTCTGGCCACTCGGAGTCACATTTAAATTTCCCTAGGGCCTATGATCCTGCAGATTATGAGCATTTGCCAGTTTCTGCCGAGATTAAGGAACTCTTCCAGTATATCAGTCGGTAAGTGTTAGGACTTCCCACCATAAGCCTCAGACCCTACCTTGCCCTTTCCTACCTCTAGTCCAAAACAGGGCCATTCTCCTTAGATTTTAAAGTAAATTTCTCTGTCTCCACTTTCCCTTGGCAATATCTCCTAGGTATACACCTCAGTTGATTGACCTGGACCACAAACTGAAACCTTTTATTCCTGATTTTATCCCAGCTGTTGGGGATATTGATGCATTCTTAAAGGTACAGTCAGAATATCCTAAAAATGACTCCTTAGATGTTTTCTTCTGACCCTTCTGTTACTCAAGCAGTTCCACTCATTACCTTGACTAGCGTTGGCTAACTTGATATATATTCTTCATTTCATTAGAGTCCTTAACCTTGTTCTCTACTCCATATTATATTCATTGCTATTAGGTAATACTTGATTATCTCATTATAGGTTAAAAATTTGTCATATATCTGCCTCCTAATTATCCATGACTTCAGCTTTATATTTACGGTCCCATAGATCACATATGTTTTTGTAAATAGGATTTAAGTACAGTATTAATACTATTAATAATGATGAACCAGAAGAGTTCTTCCTCTTCAGCTCATTGGAAACAACATATGTGGCTTTTTTATGTCCCTGTCGTTTTTTTTCTGTTTTCTTACTTTTCTCCTAACCAGGTCCCACGTCCTGATGGAAAGCCTGACAACCTTGGCCTGTTGGTATTGGACGAACCTTCTACCAAGCAGTCAGACCCTACAGTGCTTTCACTCTGGTTAACAGAGAATTCCAAACAGCACAGCGTCACAGTAAGACACTAGCTGGAGAGGGCCAGAGCAAGGGCCTTGCTGGTATTTGCACAGTTGACTTACTGCCTATTAAAAGGGGTGGCTTTGGTTTCAGGACAGCCTGATCTTTTAAATAATAATTTTATTAAGATACAATTTACCTACCATAAAATTTGCTCTTTTAACTGTGGTAAGTAGCCTTCTGCTATAGACTTAAGGGGTGAATACCCTGTAATCCCCATCCCGTGCTCTCATTCTGTGGTTTTGGTCTCTGTTTAATTGCACACAAGTAATACTACTGGGTAAACCAGGTGTGAATGTGGTTACACTGTTTAGTGTGAAAGGAAAATTGTGAAAGAACGTATATAAAAGATACAGTGGCATAAAAGAAATGCAGAGTTGAAAGCTGAATTTCAAGGGCTGTTAGACTTGGCATGTTGTGAGTGTGTTTGATAAGCTTCTCATCCTTGCATAGATGCAGTGTTCTTAGCCTTAGTGTAAAACCTTGGTTTATTGGTTTCAGCCTAGTGTGGCAAATAGATCTTACAGGACAAAGCATTATGTTGGTAGCTGGTAATGGAACAGTGCTAGTCTAGCTTTGTCTTTATAAATAAGAGAAATGGGCTTAGCCATGGAGGTTAAAACTATCTGGTTATCCCTATATTAACGCGAGCTGGGACTTGGATACACATGGTTGTATTTGATATTTAATGATCTCCCAGACTTTCCAGTCCAGGAACTTTTTGACAAACCTTTGTCCTTGTTTGACGGGTTTTGCTGTTGGGTTTTCATGTTTGTTTTTGTGGATATTTGCCTCATTCCATTCCTGAGCTTTGCAGGTAGACGGATATGGTTCAAAACTATGTTTTAAGGTGTTTCTTGTAGTGGAGTCATTGGTTTGCAGTAATAAGTCACTTTTTCCCACTAAAGTGTGACTAAAATGAAACAAGTTATTAGAAGAATTCTTTAATCGGAAGTTTTAGCTTTGCATTTCATAGCTCTATTTCCTGAAAATAACTTGGAATTGCTCCTAAGTTGTCCATCTACTGCTTTGATTCTTTAGATCTCACCCATTCTTTCACTTTAAGAGAAAACAAGAAACAAGTAATTGTTACAGAGCTCTCTGTATTTTGCAGCTACCCTTTTGTAAGAAGCACTTTTCCCAAATAAAACAATTAAAAAAACTAAATTTTACAATTCAGTGATTTTTTAGTATATTCACAGAGTTGTGCAACCATCACCATCTAACATTTTCATCATTCCAAAAAGAAACCCCATACCCATTAGTAGTCATTCCTCATTCCCCCCGCTCCTAGACCCTGTTAACTACTTCACTTCTTTTTTGTAGGTGAATAATATTCCACTGTATGGATACACCACATTTTATTTATCCATTCACCATTTGTTTCTGCTTTTATTAGTTATGCTGCCATGAACATGTACAAATTTTTGCATGGACATATATTGTTATTTCTCTTGGATATATATGTAGGAGTGGAATTGCTGAGCTATGTGGTAACAGTTTAACATTTTGAGGAACTGCCAAACTGTTTTCTCAAGTGGCTGAACCATTTACAATCCCACTGGTGACTGAATGAGAGTTTCAATTTCTCCGAATCCTCATCAGCACTTATTATTGTCTTTTTAATTCTAGCCATCCTAGTAGGTATGAAATGGTATCTCATTGTGGTCAGTTCTGTACTATTGATCTGCCCCTTTCCCATGGCTCTGGAAAATTTTATCAGGATTTCCTATAATCTTCATTTGGCTGCTGTCAAGCTTCCCTTTTCGTCAACTACCTTGTATACGAAATAGCAGCATATGATGAGGCTCTGTAGAAATAAGAGAGCTACTTCAGTGCTATCAGCCAGGCTTTCCCCTTGTTTTTCTAGCAACATATGAAAGTAAAGAGCCTGGAAGATGCAGAAAAGAATCCAAAAGCCATTGACACATGGATTGAGAGCATCTCTGAGTTACATCGTTCTAAGCCCCCTGCGACTGTGCACTATACCAGGTAAAAAATAACCACATTCTTCACCACAGTAACCCATGGTAACCTTCATGACCTGTGAACCCATTGCTTCTGCCCAAAGGCTAGAGACATACTTGATCAACCTGAGGTCCTGTGGATCCCGGCAGCTACTGGCTAAGATTATAGACATAAAGATTATAATTTCTCTGCTATTACTTAGCCAGACCCTGGATAAGTTCGCTCTGCTGTCTGTGTTCTTCTGAAATCCTGATGTGTCAGACTGAGATCTGTCTTTCATCCCAAATATCCTGATCTAGAGGTTGCTGATGTTACTTGCCCATATTTTTTGTTTATATTTACTCTATATTTTTAGGCCTATGCCTGATATTGACACACTGATGCAGGAATGGTCCCCAGAGTTTGAGGAGCTTTTGGGAAAGGTGAGTGGACTGTAGCAGAAGCTAAGTAAGTATGGCATTTCCTCTAAGGCCCAGTGTTTTCTCTTTCTATATTATTATCATTATTAACTTATTAATTGAAGTATAATATAGAATCATAAATGTATACATATTGATTAATTTTCCCCAGACGAACACGTCTGTGTAAATCAACACATTAGATCAAAAAACAGAACATAACTTGCATCCTAGATGCCTCTGCATGCTCCCACCTCCCAACATATCCCCCATCCCTATTTCTAACATCATAGACTAGGTTTGCCTATTTTGTATTTTATCGAAATGTAATTGTACTCTTTTGTGTCTTCTTTCTTTTGCTTATCGATATTGTTCATCCATTTGGATATTTATCCATATTGTTTCGTACATTGTGGTTGTACATTTGTTCTCATTACTGTATGGTGTTCCATTGTTTGAATATGTGACTGTTTATCCATTCTATGGTAGCCATTTGGGTTCCAGTTTGGTGTTATTACAAATTCCTATGTAATATTACTATAATATTTCTATGAACATTCTAACTAATGATTTTAGTGAACATGTATACTTCCTATATTATTACTTTGGACTCCATCTTTTCCACAGAGAGATTTATGCTAGTCTAAGAAGCCGCTGTCCCATTCATAATTACCCCAGATTAAAAAAATAATAATTTTAATAATGAATTGGTAAGATTTCTTTTGAAAACAAATTAGAAAACTTTAATGAAGGGTAAACACAAGATCTTAGTGAATGAGGAGTCAAGCCATGTTTCTAGGTGGGAGCATTCGATCTCTTAGTACCATTAATCCTCCCCAGTTATTGTGTAAGTGTAATGCCATTTCATTTAGGATTTTAACTGCCTTTTATTTTTAGAAATTAAAAATTTGGTAATAAAGTTTATCTGAATCAATTTTTAAGACTAATCATGAAAATTTTCAGAGAAAATAATGGAAGATATGCCCTATCAGACATAAGAAACACATTTTAAAATCATAGTAAATAAAACAGTAATATATTAGTATAGGACTAGAAATGGAAATATATCAGCAGCACATAACAATACAAAAGTGAACCCATACATATGTGGGATTTGATCTGTAAGAAAGGTAGTATTTTAAATGATTGGGTTATGATGAGATAATTAACTAGACATTTGAAAAAATTTAAATTAGGTCTATGCCGCAACCATATGAATGTGTGAATTTCAAATGAATTAAAGAGTTAATGTAAAATAAAGCTACCTAGTTCTATTTGGAGTTCTGTACAAGATGGCAGCGTAGGTTAATGTTGTGCTTGCCTCCTCTCACGACCACATCAAAATTACAACTAAACTACAGAACCACCATCACTATAGTCGCCTGAAGGCTAGCTGAACAGAACTCCTACAATTGGGGCCACCTTGAGACTGGTAGGAGAGACGGAGATGCAGGATGGGCTGGTCCTCATACCTGGCCATGGTGGTTGAGAATCGGGAGGGATATCTCAGCTGCAGAGGTCCCCCTGAAGGTGTGAGGGGTCCTGGCCCCATACTGGGCTCCCAAGCCCAGGGTTTCAGTGCCAGGAAGAGAAATCCCCACAACCTCTAGTTGTGAACACCAATAGAGATTGTGGCTGAGTTAGATGGAGGGCATCTGAAGTCACAGACATTCCTCTTAAGCGGGCCGTGCATGGACTTACTCACCATTGGAATCACTTGATCTGAGCTCCAGCACTGGAGCAGCTGCTTAAAGAGTGCCAAGGATATACTGGGAGGAACTATATTGTCTAGTTCCAGGGCGAGGACTGGAGGGACAGCTTTCCTCCAGACAAAAGTGCTGGCAGAATCCATTCTTTCTTTGTTGAGCCCTACCTCTTCCCAGCGTGCAGATGCAGGTGTCACCATATATGAGTCTCCATCAACCTGGCTTACACTGGTTGCCCTGCCCTGGTGATTCCCTGAGATCTTGCTTCACACAACTTGCAGGGCCCACCCAAGCTGCCTATGTTTCAGAAAAAATGAGACCGGCAAGAAATGAAGCACTACTCCGAGAGCTGGAGAACTCAGGTTTATTATGCCAGTGGTCCCAGAAGAGCTAGCGCTCTGAAGATCTGGGCCCCACACTCAGGGGTAACTTTACTTTTATAGGGCTTATCCACGAACAAGCAAAGGGGATACATCTGTTATCTAGACAGAACAAGCAAAAGGGAGGGTGATGGCCTATGCAGCAAGCATGTCTACAGAAGCAGAACAAAGAGATGATTACAAAGTTAGCCATTTAAGTGGAAAATTCATCTTCACCTCTAGTGGCTTTTCCATACAAATGGCCTATCTTGGCTCACTCTGCAGACTTTGCTAAAATCTCTCAGAGGTTCACAAAACCCAAACAAGCAGCATCTGGCCTCAGCATGCCCTGTTCCTCTTGCCAAGCAACCTAAAGCCTGGCACTACTGACAGCTGGCCTTGGTTTGTGGCTTGCCCTCTCGAGGCACTTCTAAACTCAGCACCTGGTAGCCATCTGTGGATTGCTTGATAATTCTTGATAGGTGGCCCCAGGCAGTATACAGGCTGCCACTGAACCTGGCCTGCAGGAAGGCCCCTCCCAAGAGGCGCTGGAGCTGGCATGCCTGGTGGCCAGCCTCTGACCAAGCTGGAGCACCACTGGGGCTGCATCTGAGGACAACATACATGAAGGACAGACTGGGCAGCCATCAGAGGCCAGCTACGCGAATCTTGTTCTGTAGAGATACCCCTCACTGGCCAGTCTTCACAACCAATCAGACCAAGGGTCAATCTCTCCCATTGATGTGCAAACAGCAATCAAATCTCAACTATAACAGGAGGGCACACACAACGCATACAGGGACACACCTGGAGCACCTAGCTTAAGTGACGAGGAATGACTGCACCACTGGGCCTGAAAGAACACCTGCTACATAAGGCCCCTCTCCTAAGAGCGGGAGACACAGCAGTCTTACCTAATACATAGAAACAAACACAGGGAGGCAGCCATAATGGGGAGACAAACAAACATGTCCCAAATGAAAGAATAGAACAAAACTCCAGAAAAAGAGCTATACAAAATGGAGACAAGCAATCTACCAGATGCAAAGTTCAAAACACTTGTTATAAGGATGCTCAATGAACTTAGGGGAAAAGTAGATGAACTCAGAATTTCAACAGAGAAAACATAAAAATGGAGATAGAAAACATAAAAAAGAATGAGTTAGAAATGAAGACTACAATAATGAAGACTACATTAGAAGGAATCAATAGTAGATTAGATGAAACAAGATCAAATCAGTGATTTAGTAGATATGGTAGCAGAAACACCCAATCAGAATAGCAACAAGAAAAAAGAATTTAAAAAGTGAGGATAGTTTAAGGGGCCTCTGGGACAATATCAAATGAACCAACATTCCATCATAGGGGTACCAGAAGGAGAGAGAGCACAAGGAATTGCAAGAAATGATGGAAAACTTCTCTACCTTGATAAAGGAAATAGATATACAAACAAGCCCAGGAAGTCCAAAGAGCCCCAACAGGATGAACCCAAAGAGACTCACACCAAGACACATTTTAATTAAAATGCCAAAGGTTAAAGGCAGAGACCCTTAAAAGCAGCAAGAGAAAAGCAGTTAGTTATATACAAGGGAGCTCTCATATGACTGTCAGCTGATATCTCAAAAGAGACTTTGCAGGCCAGAAGAGATTGGCAAGAAATATTCAAAGTGATGAAAAGCAAGGACCTATAACTAAGATTACCCCGCAAAGTTATCATTCAGGATCAAAAGACAGATAAAGAGCTTCTCAGACAAGAAAAAGCTAATGAGTCATCAACACCAAACCAGTATTACATGAAATGTCAACGAGACTTCTTTAAGGAAAAAGAAAACAAAGATTTAAAACTATAAATAATAAAATGGCAATAACTACTTATTTATCACCAATCACTTCAAATGAAAAAGGATTAAGTGCTCCAATTAAAAGACAAGGTGGCTGAATGGATAAGAAAACAAGACCCTTACATATGGTGTTTACAAGAGATTCACTTCAGATTGAAAGACACACACAGACTGAAAGTAAAGAGATGGGGAAAAAAAATCATGAAAATGGAAATGAAATAAAAATATCTGAGGTAGCAATATTTATAGCAGACAAAATAGATTTTAAAACAAAGGCTATAACAAGAGACAAAAGACTTAGTAATTCTGCTTGTGCATATTTATCTGAAGAAACCCAAGGTACTACTTTGAAGGGACATGTGCATCCATATGGTCATAGTGGCATTATTTACAATAGCCAAGATAAGGAGGCAGTGTAGGTATCCATGAATGGATGAATGGATAAAGAGGTGGTACATACATGCAATGGAATATGACTCAGCCATAACCAAAGTCTTGCCATCTGAAACAACATGGATGGACCTAGAGGGTATTGTGTTGAGTAGAGTTAAGTCAGACAGAGAAAGACAAATTCCATATATTTCACTTACATATGGAATCTTTAAAGAACAGAATAAATAAGACAAAAACAAACTCATAGATACAGAGAACATTTTGATGTTTGCCAGATTGAAGAGGGTTTGGGTGGGGTGGGTGACCAATGAGAATAGATTAAGAAGTCCAAATTGAGAATACCAGGCAAAACGGCATAGATGATAGAAGCTTCACTCATCCTCTCTTGCGACCACATCAAAGTTGAGATGGAAACATGGAGCAAACATCAAGCAGAGCCACCTAGGGGTCCAGATTAACAGAAGCCCTACAATTAGGAAATAAATAAGAAATCACTCTGCAACTGTAGAAGATAGGTGGGGGCAAAGATGCGAGGCTGCCCGGTCCCCAGTGGCTGAGTGGGACAGAGGCAATGGCAGCGGCAGCCGGCAGCTGCAAATGCCTCTCAAAGGAGCCATGTACGCAACCGGACTTTCACAGTGACAGACCTGCTCGCTCTGGGCACCATTGCTGGGTCAGCTGCTTGGGGGTCACCAGGGTCTTAGAGGGGGACACTGACTTGTTGGACTGAGGGCTGGAGATGTGGTTTTCCACTTGGTAGAAGTGCTGGCAGAAAGCATTGCTCCTCTGTTGAGTCTTCCCCTCTCCTAATGTGCAGAGGCTATGCTGCCATAGCTGAGACATCATCAAACTGGATAACAGGTCACTATGCCCAGAGGATTTCCTGAAATTGCACCTCCCCAAACTGTTGGCCCCACCCAGGCCACATTCAGTTGTGTCCTCAGCGAGTCCTGTCCACTTACCGAGCAGCGCCAAGATTCACACTGGTAGCAGCTGGATCTCAGTTTCTAGCATGGCTTCTTGAGGCAACTATAAACACAGCTTCTGTGTATTGCTTGCTGGATCTTAACAGGTGGTCCTGGAGGGGCACAGGCTGGGGCTAAACTTGGCCTGCAGCTGAACCCCTTTCCTGACTGCTGCTGGACACCTACTACACAAAGCCACGCTCATAAGACTGGGAGACTTTGGAGCTTTGCTTAGTACACAGAAACAGACACAGAAAGGCAGCCAAAATGAGAAGACAAAGAAGCAGAAACCATGTGAAAGAACAGAACATAGATCAAGGACAGATGGAGTCAAGCAATCTCACCGATGCAGAGTTCAAAACACTGGTTATAAAGATGCTCAATGAAATTAAGAGAAGTATAGATGAACTCAGTGAGAGCTTTAACAAAGAGACTAAAACAAAAACAAAAATGGAAATGGAAATTATAAAAGAGAACCAGTCAGAAATGAAGACAACATTATCCTGAGATGAAGAGTATATTAGAGGGAATCTACAGAGTGGAGGAAGAAGGGGATCAAAATACAAATATAGGGGATGGAGAAGCCAAGGACACTCAACCAGAACAACAAGAAAAAAAGTAACCAAGAATATAATAATAATTTAAGGAGCCTATGGGACAAAATTAAGGGTAACAACATCCATGTCGTAGGGGTACCTGAAGAGGGAGAACAAGAAGTTGAATATATATTCGAAGAAATAATGATTGAAAACTTCCCTAACCTGGTGAAGGAAATAGATATACAAACCCAGGAAGCTCAGAGAGTCCCCCGCAAAACCAGGAGTCCAAAGAGGCCCACACCAAGACACATCATAATTAAAATGCCAAAGGTTAAATACAAAGAGAATCTTAAAAGCAGCAAGAGAAAAGCAATTAGTTACCTAGAAGGCAGCACCCATAAGACTGGCTGATTTCTCAAAAGAAATTTTGCAAGGCAGAAGGACTTGGCACAAAATGTTCAAAGTATTGAAAACTCAGGATCTACAACCAAGAATACTTTATCCAGCAAAACTATCATTTAGAGCCAAAGGACAGATAAAGAGCTTCTCAGACAAAAATAAGCTGAAGGAATTCATCAGTACCAAGCCAGTATTACAGGAATTGTTAGAGGGACTTCTTTAAGAAGAAAAAACATGTATCAAAAACATGAGTAGAGAATGGTAATAACTACATATTTATCAAATACCTCAAATGGGATAGAATTAAGTGTTCCAACCAAAAGATAAGGAAGCTGAATGGATAAGAAAACAAGACCTCTACATATGCTGCCTACAAGAGACTCACTTTAGATTAAAAGACACACAGAGACTAAAAGGAAGAGAATGTAAAAGGATATTGCCTTGATGGACCTAGAAGTTTTGCACTGAAGGAAGTAAATCAGATTGAGAAAGACAAATGCCACCTGATTTCATGTACATGTGGACTCTAAAGAACAAAACAGTAACATCAAAATTGGAAACAAACTCATAAATACAGAGAATATTTTGAGGGCTACTGGACGGGAGGGGTGTTAGGGGACGGTGAAAAAGGGCAAAGAGATTAAGAAGTACAAATGGATAGATACAAAATGGTCATGGAGATATAAAGTGTAGCATAAGGAAAATAGTCAACAATGTTGAAAAATATGTAAGGGGAAGAGGGGTACTTGACTTAATGGGGTGACCACTTCATGAGTTATATAGATCTCTAATCACTATGCTGTATAACTGAAGCTAATATATTATTGTATGCCATGTGTAATTGAAACAAACTCATTGAATTGTATAATGTAAATATGAGCAACTGTCTATTATATTTTAATAAAGGTGGTGAAAAAAAAGAAGTACAAATTGGTAGTTACAAAATAGTCATGGAGATGTAAAGTATATCATAAGGAATGTAAGTCAATAATATTTTAATAATTATGTATGGTGTCAGAGGGTTCTAGTTATGTCAGGGTGATCGCTTTGTAAGTTATATAAATGTGTAAATCACCGTGTTGTACACTTGAAACTAATTTAACATTATATGCCAACTGTAATGGAAAAATAAAAATAGTATTAAAGAATAAAATAAAAAATAAAGTTGTAAGTGAAAAAAAAAGGCAGCTAAGAAAAACTAACTTGAGTTTTTGTATATCCTAATTTGGTTTTCCTCTCATAAAATTGTTTCTGCATGTTCCTTTTTTAAATGGGCAATGAATAACTTTTAGAGAAATAAAAAAAAAAATAAAAGTATACAGGTACAATTTTTAAAAATAGGAGAAATATTTAATACTGTTTGAACGGTTAGGGTTTCTTAGCACAATAAGAAACTAAATAATCATAAAATGTGATAAAATGTGATAGTTACCATACACAAAGTTAAAAAAGTGATGGACTTAGAAAAGTACCTTAAATATATATATTACTATCCAAGCAAATCATATCTAGAAAAGAACACTGAGCAAGAGGATAAACAGCCTTCCTGGCCATCATATTTAAAGTTGTTACACCAGCTCCCCCATGTTCCCCTCCCTCTTTCCCGGCTTTTTCTCCATAATACTTACCGTCTAACATGCTGTATACCTTATTTGTTTTGTTTTTTGTTTCTCCTTACTGAAACATAAGCTCATGAAGACAGATTTTCTTATACGTATTTATTGAGGAATTGTTTTAAAAGCGAAGAATTTGAAAACAACCTCTTTTAAAGCTGTAGCTGAGAGAAAATGCCTGATTAGAGAATTGAATAGATAGGTTGTAGTATATCCATTCAGTGAAAAGCTTTTACAGGGGAGTATTATTTGGCTTTATTTTGCTCTGATACAGGGAAATATCAATGATGTTGTGAAATGAAAAAAGGAAATTACAGAACTATATACACTCCGATTTTTGTAAAAAGAGAACAAAAATTTTTTGAAGAAGCCAGTGGTTTTTAAACTTACAATATAACTTGTAATATTGTAAGATGAGATGTAATATTGAGATGTCTATTTTTCTGGGATTTTTTTTTTTTTGGTATCCAAGAATCTATTAATATTTGGACATAACCTGGTACCAATTTCTTTTTCACAAAACACAGGAAGACAGCATGGCAGTTTATTTTACTTAATAACAGTACATTTTACTTATAAAGTCCTTAGGTTCTGTTAAGTCATCTGCTAATTTAGTAGTTGATTAGTATGGCCAATTCCATTTTACTGATCATAGAAAAAAAAGCATGTTATATTATTTGCTAGGGCTGCCATAACAAGTGTACTCCAGAGTGGGTGGCTTAAACAACAGAAATGTATTTTATTTTCTCATACTTCTAGAAACTAGAAGTCTGAGATCAAGTTGTTGGCAGAGTTGATTTTTTCTAGAACTTCTTGGCCGTCTTCTCCCTCTGTCTTCACATGGTCTTCCCTATGTATGTGTCTGTCTGTGTCTTAATTTCCTTTTTTTATAAGGATACCAGTCATACTGGATTAGGGTCCACCTTAATGACTTCATTTTAACTTAATTATCTCCTTTAAGACTGTATCTCCAAATACAGACACATTCTGAGGTACTAGGGGTTAGAACTTCAACATATAGATTTTGAGGGAACACCACTTAGCAGATAATACATATGTGTTATACTGAGAGCTCTTTTTCTTCTGAGAGAGAGTTCAGCCTTTTGACCTTGGTCCATCCCATGCCCCTCCTAGGTGAGCCTGCCCACAGCAGAGATTGATTGCAGCCTAGCAGAGTACATTGACATGATCTGCGGTAAGCTCTTCCATCCCTTCCTTTCTCTGTCTCTGGATAAACATACTATGGGCTTTTGAAAACGCTTGTTCACCCTGGGTAGTGTCTTGAATTACAGCCTTCACTTTAAGCCAGTTGTGCTGTTGCCAACAGTTGAGGGTGGTGTTTGGGCTTATGGTGTTTGGACTACTTGCCAGGAACTCCCAAAGCCATGGTAACATCTCATCTGGGAGGGGATTGGCTCTCCTAAGCAGAAATGCCCCATAAGTCTTGGATTTTTGTTTGGTTCTGCTCATGGGAGTTTTTGATTTCAGCCATCCTAGACATCCCTATCTACAAGAGTCGGATTCAGTCCCTCCACCTGCTCTTTTCCCTCTACTTGGAATTCAAGAACTCACAGGTAAGACCAGCTCTAGAGATTGACTTAAGTGATAATGAAGATTGCTGCAGTCTCTACTATTCTGAGACAGCTGTGATTGTATCCATGACAATGGAGGATGTCTCTGCTGGGAGTTACCATTACCCTTCTCCATAATAAGAGAGCTGCAGAACATGCGGGGGATGGGGGGGGGAGCTTTTAAAGGAAGGGGAAGTAGAGGAGATGTGAGCCTTAGACGAGGTTAGGTGAGGATCTACAGAGGACACTCATTCTATAGGAGAATCAAGTGGCCTAAGGAATGGAAGCAGGAAGGAAGCAAAAAAAGGGTTCATTTTTGAAGGAGATGGGGCAGATTTTTAGCTGTTTCTCAAAGACAACACCAAGGAATTGTTTTGGAAGTAGGATTGGGAGAAAATTGGAACTTAAGGGTTGTAAAGACGTTAGTTCTTGCTGAAATGTAGCAACAAGCATATCCCAAATAATCCATGTTCCCTCTCCTCTTTCCTCACAGCATTTTAAAGCTCTAGCTGAAGGCAAGAAAGCATTCACCCCTCCATCCAACTCCACCTCCCAAGCTGGAGAGGCAGAGACATTAACCTTCAGCTGAGACACTTCCCAGGTCACTCTGTTTCAAGGCTCAGCTGGCTTTTCTACCCCAGCTGAGAAGGAGAGATGGTTATCAGCCACCTGGCATCCTTGCCTTGACTCAGGGACAGTGCACGTCCTACTACCTTCTGTGCCAGAAAGTACTGCACATCTTCATTAAATAGTTTCTGCTTGTCTCAGATTTCCCTTCCATGGGAATTATGCATTCTACCCACTGTGGAGATTTGAGGTAGAAGAATTGGAATTTCTGGGATCTCAAGATGCTTGGGTTAGGAGGAAAGTTTTAAAAAATGTTCTTTTTGAGATAGCAATGGAATTGTTTTCTTTCTTAAAATTAGTTGGCAAAGATTTTACAAGTAAAATGCTCTTATCTTTCAGATTATCCTGCTGTTCTATAGTATGAAAGAGAAAAGGCAGATTGAGCATAAGGCAGAGAGAAGGAACTTGGCCTAGTAACAGACCTTAAGTAATTAGCAGTTTAAGCAAAACTCAACTTTTTGAAATAAAATCAAATACCAGTCCTCCAAGGTCGGCAGTAGAAGGAGTCATTGTTCTCCTGGAACTTATTTTTCTGGGAGTTTCTCACTAGCTAATGCTGCCTGCCGTACAGGCTACCTGCCTGTCTAGCTCCAGACCTGCCAGGGAGTCTAGCTATTGCAGTAATCCAGGTGAGAGATAATTGTGCCTTGGATTAGGGTGGGAATGGTGGTAGTAGTAGACATGGGCAGATTTGGGTAATATTTTGTAGATTATAGCAGTCAAGCTCTAGTCAGGAAATCAGAAACTATGCTAGTTACTCCTAACACAGGGAGTTAATAATGGGAGATTGGTTACAAAAGGGTTGGAAGGGCTAAAGAAATGAAAGGGAGAATGGAGGGTGCTGAAGGAATGGAGGGTTAAAGGCGTGGCATCCATTGCGGGTGCGGGAAGCAGAAGACGTACTACGGTGGTCTTGCATGGCCGAGGAGGTGACACACAGGCTCTATGCAGACCCTCACCCCCACTACTACAGCACTGAGAGCCATGGCCGCTGCTTCCTTTCTCCCACCTTCTCATATCTTGCTGGTGCCTCCCATCGGCAGAAATTAACAACTGGCAAGGGAATCTGGAAAATCCAGCAGGATAACACGGTATAGTAGGGAGGGAGTGGGGCTGAGAGGCTACAGATAACTAACCAGTACAGGTAGAACCAACAAAACCTGGTGATAGGTTGGACGTTGGGGATGGAAGGAAAGAGATTAAAGATGACTCCCAGGTTTTTAGCTTGAGGGACTGAATGGATAATGAAGCTAAGTACTGATATGGGGTGAAAGTGGAGCAAGAATTGATTGGAGGGAAACATTACATTAAAATGGTACACTGTCAGTCTAATATATACACGATAAACGCATAGATAGAAGAGGATTCATTTCTTACAGAGTCTTAAACCAACTATGATGTTCCCATTATGCTTGAAATTGAAGGAAAGGAACATTTGAGCTCAGGCCTTCCTCTGACACCATATTGGGACCAGGTGCTCTACTCTCAAATGGATTCCATTAATGCTTACATTTAACTCACAGGGAAAAAAGAGAGGCCAAATGTGATATGAACTCAAACTCTCCATTAAGTTTTCAGGGCACAATCAGACTGACTTCTATGGCTAGAGCTGAGACTCAGTACTAATAAATATAGTAGATTGTTGTTATTGAGGGTAGTTATGTTCTATAAAGTCAGCTAACTCTTTATTCTGGCTCTTTCCTTTGCTTGAAGTGTCCTTCACCTCACCTGATACTATGTTCTCACAACACCTAAATAAACAAATATTAAACACAAGTATGTACATCTTCATTCCTTCCTTTAACCTTATTTACTAAAGTGACAGTATAGGAATAAAAAATGATATAAACCAGCAAGGACAGATAGTAAGAAAGCCAATGACTGCAGACTAAATAGCAACACAATTTTGGAAGATGGCCAAGTGGTCACTGGGGGAAAAGCTTGCAATTTGCCCGTGGAGGAGAGGAACAGAGAAAATGATAAGTAAGCCATTTGACACTGTAGAACCATGAAAAGGATCAGGAATTAAAAGTGCCAGATATTTCTGATGGCATGTGTGCAGGGTGGGGCTGAAAACAGGCAGATTGGTTGACAGTTTGTAGAAAGATAAACTTTCCCACCTGCGCTGCCCACCTCCTTACCCCAACAGAAGAAAGTCACCTTTGAATCAAGGAGGCTCTGGACAGAAGAACATCAAGCAGCTATGAGGACAGAAATAAGGGGCCGTATTTAAAATAAGAGGATAAAATAAGGAATGAGTAGTAAGACCCTCAGCCCTCTTCTAGGCTTATACCTTCAAAGCAGAATAGTGGAAGAGCCTTCTTTTGAAGAACTGATCCACCAAGAGAAAAGACTTAATGGATACTGAGAGTCTTTAAGCAAATATCCAAGTTCCTTCCTATCCATCAGCTTCCAGTCAGTTTTCTGGTATCTCATTCTTGTGTGTGTGCATGCACGCATGTTTGCAATTCTCATTCTTTAGTATGAATGTATAGTCAAGAGATCAGCAGAAATTTGAAGAAAGTCCGAAAAATAGACTAAAACTGACAGAACAAAGGAAATAAGAGAAACAAAACAAGTAATTACGATTTAACTATTTTATATCATATTGTATTATATTTATATAATACAATATTATATAGAACACTATTTATATATAATACAATATTATATCTATATGTTATACATTAAATATATATAATATAAATATATATTCATATTATAACTATAATATTCATTGGGCAATAACTGTCACACTTGTTTGCCCATTAGACTCAACTGAGATCTTTTAATTCCCACCCCAGCCATGCCCTCTGCTGTGGTAAAACCATCACCTGGTGGGAAGGGGAAAATTTTTAAAAATAAATAAAATATTAAAAAAATATATTAAACCTACCTTGCATTGTTGGAAATTAATTAATTAAATGTCAAAAAGAAGTTTCTGCGTTTCTGGAATTAATGCATTTCTTGTGAGCCAGAATGATCATCAGATGATGACTTTTAGCACAGCACTCGTCCGAAAAATAGATTAAAACTGACAGAACAAAGGAAATAAGTGTTTCACCTTTTCAGATATTATTCCCAAAACAGTCTGTTTCATTTTTAGAAGATGGTGGAAAGTAAGAAACTGAAAGCTGGATTTGAATAGCTGAATATCTACTGAAGGAAGAGTAGAGAGGAAATAAAATTTCAAACAGCAAAAACCATCACCTGGTTCTCTATATCTAGGGGTCTTTTTCTGTTTCTATTTATTTATTTATTTTTTTAGGTTCCACATATAACTGCTATCATATGGTATTTGTCTTTCTCTGTCTGACTTATTTCACTTATAATACGTTCTAGGTACATCCATGTTGTCACAAGTGGCAAGATTTCATTTCTTTTTTATGGCTGAGTAATATTCCATTATATGGATGTACCACCTCTTCTTTATCTTTTTATCCATTGGTGGGCTTCTAGGTTGCTTCTCTAGCTTGGCTAATGCTGCAGTGAACATGGGAGTACAGATATCTCTTTGAATTAGTGTTTTTGTTTTATTTGGATAAATACCCAGAAGTGGAATTGTAGGATCATACGGAAGCTCTATTTTTAATTTTTGAAGGGAATCTTCATACTATTTTTCATAGTGGCTACACTAATTTACAATCCCACTAACAGTGTATAAGTTCCCTTTTCTCCACATCAGCACTTGTTTGTTGATTTATTTATCGATGGTAGCCATTCTGAAAGCTGTGTGGTGACATCTCATTGTGGTTTTAATTTGCATTTTCTTGATCAGTGATGTTGAGTACCATTTTTGTCTGTTGGCCATCTGTATGTCCTCTGTGGGGAAATGTCTATTCAGGTCCTCTGCCCATTTTTTAATTGAATTGTTTGTGCGTTTTTTTGGTGTTGTATAAGTTTTTTTATGTATTTTGGATAGTAACCCTTTTTCAGATGTATCTTGTGCAAAGATCTTCTCCCATTCAGTAGGTTGTCTTTTCATTTTGATGATGGTTCAACTGACTAATTAATTAAAGTACAATTTCTGGAGGATACAGGAAGTTGTATTTTTTAAAACTCTTCAGATCACTTCAATACACAGAAAAAAATGTTACAGAGAGAAGAGAAGATTCCCAATCCAGGAAATAAGGTTAGGAAACTTACAAAAGCAACATGCAATATAGCAACAAGATATAACAATTATAAACATTTACACACCTAATAACAGACCTTCACAAAATACAAAGCAAAGTTGACAGAATTGAAGGAAGAAATAGACACAGTTCTACAATAATAGCTGGATATTTCAGTACCCCACACTCAATAATGGATAGAACAACCAGACACAAGAAAAGTAATAGAAGACTTGAACAACACAATAAACAACTATATCTAACACATATACAAAACACTCCACCCAATAACAGTAGGATACACATTCTTCTCAAGTGTACATAGGACATTTTCCAGGATAGAACACATATTAGGTTGCAAATTAAGTTTCTGTAGATTTAAGTAGATATTATACAAAGTATCTTCTCAGACCACAATGAAGGAAGTTAGAAATCAACAGAAGGAAAACTTAAAAATCCACAAATTTGTGGAAATTAAACAATACATTCTTAACTAATGGGTCAAAGAAGAAATCACAAGGGAAATTAGACAATACTTAGAGATAAATAAAAATGAAACCACAACATTCCAAAACTTATGATATGCAGCAAAAGCAGTGCTCAGAGGGAAATTTATAGTTAGAAATGGTTACATTAAGAAAAAAAGAAAGATTTCAATCCAACCTTACAATCCGAAGACCTAGAAGAGGAAGAACAAACTAAACCCAAAGCTAGTAGAAAAAAGGAAATAATAAAGCTTAAGGCAGATGTAAATAAAATACGTGACGGAGAAACAATAGAGAAAATTGACAAAACCCAAAGTTGGTTCTTCAAAAAGATGAACAAAATTGAAAAGCCTTTAGCCAAATTGTCTAAAAAAAAGGACTCAAATAACTAAAATCAAAAGTAAACGTGAGGATATTACTATCAATTCTACAAAAATAAAAAATTAGGAAGTACTATGAACAACTGTAGACAACTTGGATAACCTAGATGAAATGGACAAATCCCTAGAAACACAAAATCTACCACGACTGACGAAAGACCTGTATTTAGTAAGGAGATGAAATCAGTAATCAAAATTAAAAAATCAAAGTAAAATATACATAAAATGACATTCACTTCAGTGGCAATATGTCCACTCACATGGTTGTGCAAGCATCACCACTATCACCACTATCCAGCTTAAGAACCTTTTTGTCATCCCAAACTGAAACTGTACCCATTAAACACTAACTCCTGCCTCTCCCTCCTCCACCCAGCTCCTGGTAACTTCTGTCTCCTGTCTCTATGAATTTGCCTATTCTAGGTACCACGTGAGTGGAATCAGACAAAATTTATTGTCCTTTTGTATCTGGCTTATTTCACCCAGCATGTTTTCAAGGGTCATGCATGTTGTGTGTGTCAGAATTTCCTTCTTTTTTAAAAGGCTGAATAATATTCCAATGTGTATATATACTATATTTTCTTTATCTATTCATCTGTTAATGGACATTTGGGTTATTTCTACCTTTTAGCTATTGAAAATAATGCTGCTATCAGTGTACAAATAACTATTTGAGTCCCCGTTTTCAGTTCTTTTGGAAATAGACTTAGAAGTAAAGTTGCCGGATCGTTAGTTTTAACTTTTGGAGAAACTGCAATACTGTCTTCCACAGTGGCTGCACCATTTTACATGCCCACCAGCAATATGCAAAGCTGAACATTAATTTTTAGAAGTTCATATTGAAGTCTGTTGTGTTTAGAGGAATTCAAACAGTAAAACATAGTCTAGGAGGGAAAATGCAACCAGAATTATGTTTTCCCAAATGTTGGACAGCAGTACATCCCAGCTCAAGGTACCAAGCAACCTGCCTATTATCAGAGAATAAAGATTAAAGATTTACTATACTGAAGTATATTAAAAATTGGTGTTCTTTCCCAGGAAAAAGAGAACTGTCATGTCAGAGGCATTAGTAATGCTGAAAATTCCATTATCCTCAGAAAGACCAAAAAGCTTTCAGAATATCAAAGGGACTAGATCAGGGATCTCCTCCTAATACTTTACTATGAAAATTGTCAAATAAAAGGATTTTAGAAGAATTGTACAATAAACCCTCACATACCCACCACCTAGATCCTACAATTGACATTCTGCTACATTTGCTTTATCTCCTATCCACTCCTCTATCCATTCATCAATCCATTTTGGTTTTTGATACATTTCAAAATAAGTTGCAGAGACCAATGCACTTCACCCCTAAACACTAGCATGCATATAATTAACTTGCATTCAATATTTACTTATGGTTTTTATCAAATGAAATTTATACATAGTGAAATATACAAATCAAACTACCATTTAATTTTTTAAACTAGAACTTTTGAGATACAATTCACATGTCATAAAGTTCACCCTTGCCAAGTGTACAATTCAGTGGTTTTTGGTCTATTTGCAAAGCTGAGCATTGATCATCATTAATTCCAGAACATTTTCATCACTCCCAATAGAAAATCCATCTTCATTAGAAGTCACTCTCTATTCTACCCTCCCTCTATTCCCGGGAAACCACTAATCTACTGTCTCTATGGATGTGCCTGTTCTGGGTATTTCATAAAAACGGAGTCACAGAATATGTGGTCTTTAGGATTTGGCTGCTTTCATTTAATGTAGTGTTTTCAAGGTTCATCATGTTGTAATTTGATGGGCTTTTACCTGCATAATAAGCAGGTTTTTTTTAATCTGCATTTTTCCAGGAGAAAAAGTTAACTTTTGTCAAATTCTCCAAAGAGTTTGTGAGTCAGTAAAGGTAAAAGGAATCTCTGATCTAAGGGACATATATGGAGACTTGGGACACTAATTTAAAAGTCTACTCCTTAGCAAACACTAGCAAGGATGGGAGATTTGCCAGAAGAGCAAACCTTTCTGCTAAAGTAAGACCTTCAGTGCAGCTAAGAGGAAAGCACACAGGGCTCCTAGCCAAAGAACCATCAAGGAAGCGGCTCCCCAAAGGGAGCAGTGGATGAGAAGGTCAACAGAATTGACAGCAGGGCACCCTGGTTCCTAAAAGTTCTGGCACCATGAAGGAGCTTACAAGCAAAATCAGTAGAGGCTGGAACGACATTCCTCTCAGGAGGCTGGGGCAGCCTTAGCCACTCCCATGGAGGAAAATACTGAACAAGAGAGAGGCGAGGGAAAGATGTGGCTGGAAAACTCACAGCTATGCAAGCCAAGCCAATCTGTCACTAAAAAAGATATAAATCTGCCTTTGTGATGCCCCAGAAAAATTTTTTGTTGAAAATCACAGCCATCTGTACCCCCAGTCAGGGCAAAGTGGCTCAGTGTGCCTTTGCCACACTCTGGAATGGGGAGAGTCTGCCAAGTGATATTGACCAAGCTAGACTCAGTAGCTAGTTATATCTATGATTGCCACCAGGCACTCCTGAAGTAGAAAACGCCATCCTTGCCACTGGAAGGAGTGTAATTAAAGAAATATTTATTTTTAAAACTAAGAGATCTGAAGCAAAATGTTAAGAACATGTTGAGTTGAGTGGTGGGTACACAGGTGTTTGCTGTATTTTCTCTACTGTGTGATTTGGAGAGTTCATTATGAAGTGTATTTGAAAGACTGAAACACATGTAACATTCACTCAGTCAAGTTTATTGAACTTACTGTGTGCTCAGCACCGCCCTAGGCAGTAATATGAGAAAAATCACAAAACAAGATAACAAGAGAAAAATATACTCCACACTCTTACTAATTTGCAGTCATTTTCATGTTGCTTTGTTAAGTGTTCTTAGGTCTTTGGGGGTATGTGGTCTTCCCCTTTCCCCATGCCCGCTAAAGCTTCTGGCACTGTTGAATTATGTGCCAATATGACCATCCCCTGAGGAACAGAGCATGGGACAGGAAAAGTGGCTTCCTGTTGATGATGCAGTCAAGGGTTGGCCAGGGCTAGGGTGCCATGGCAGGGGAGACATGCTGAAGAGGAACCCATCACCCTGGAGGGCTCAGGTCACTCAGTTAATCCCAGGAAGGCCAGACTTGGGGAAGCCACAGAGAAGGCCTTAGAGGATGTGCTCAAAGCATTAACACTAAGAAAATGAAGCACAGCTACATGCGCTCCTGGATACCACCAGACTTCTCACCTCTCTCTTTCCTCCTGATCTTTGCTAACACCAGGCACTAGCACCACCAGAGGCCAGGCCAAAGGGGAAGTCTGGTGCCCAGTGAAGAAGTAGCGAAGGTCCAACATATAACGATGCCCAAGAGAAGGCGGGGTCAGAGGCAGTAGAGAAAGGGCAGAGATATGCAGCACAGGGAATACTTTGTGCTTGGCTAATGCCCCTTGGCCAGGGGTTGGTTTCTGTGCAAAGGTTTCTACACAGCTAGCAGGGTCCTAAATTTTCCCTGAGGGAATGAAGCTGCACAGCACGGGAAGGAAATCCAAGCTGTGCATGGACTGCCTTGGCCCCATACCAGGCATGCCCCCAGGCCTACTGTGCCACACGCTGTGGAGTACTGGCATGGAACACAAAGCAGGCCCAAGCCAACAGGGCTGCGACACACTTAGATGCCAGATGAACTCTGAACACACTGGGCAAAGAGCTCTCTCTGCCTGGACATGGGCATTACATACAGGCCCCAACCTGAGTTAGAACAAGGGCTTAGATCCAGCTGGCAGCCTTGCCAAGGACAAGGGTCAGATCCCAATGAAACCATCATGTGGATGACAGAAAGGGCACCCCAGCCAGGAGGCAAGCAAAAGTGGCAGTGGCATGGCCTCTCCTCACTGGCAACATGGCCAGGCAGAGGAAGCCTTCGAGTGGGAGGGTGCCCAGGGGCCATGGCATCCTCTGTCTCGCCCTCAGCTCAGAGCCAGATCTCCTCATTGCTCACACTGGATACTCGTTAGCTGTAGCCCAGTACTAGGGGGCAGGTGAAACCTGCAAGGTCAGAGATGCCCAGGAGTCTCAGTAACCCTCATTCTTGGAAGTTGAGAGACCACTTTGCCCCTGGGGACTCAGAGGCACAAGCACCAGGACTAGGGAGCAGAGGAGGAGAGTACCTTGGCTAGTGAGGAGGCCGCCAGGCTCTGGGTCCAAAAGTTCTGGCCAGCTGTTGTTCTGAGCCATCTGCTGGTCTGCTGGTTTCTCTGTTGGGTGACAAAGGGGTGGTGCCCAGGACAAGGAGTGTGCCTGATGAGGCAAGGTGTCTCTTTTTATCAAAGGCACCTTTGAAGACAATGCAGGGGCAAACAGAGGGTCCTGGAAGTACCTTGGGAATCTGGAGTGAGGTCGTTGAGCTGAAGGTTGGACAGGAGGGCCATGTTCTCCTGTGGCAGGTGCACGCTGTTGAGTTTCAGGTTGTTGGAGTCACTACGGGGCGGACAAAACCTGGGACACACCCTGGCTCCAGCAGGCAGGTTTCTGTTTTCGGGCCTATTCTAGAGCAACTGCAGATTCCCACCTGTTCCCGTGCTGCATCTCCATTCAGCCCATCCACTCAACCCCAGAAAGAGTTACCTAGAGATCAGAGATGGGTACTGGGACAGGCTCAAGGAGAAAGAAATCATGCCACTGTTCTCAGTGTGCCCACTCACTCTGGGCTCTGCCCCACCTTGAGAGACCCCTTGCCTCTCAAGTGCTCAGCACTAGCTCTGGGACCGGGGTGCTGTTCCCAGTGCCCAACCTGCCATCTGGGATGGTCACACTTTGGGGTACTTGCTCTGCCCAGCCCTCCTTACTGCCCTGCTGCTCATCCTGACCTCATCTCAACTCCCCCAACCACCCTCTGCCCCCGCTGCTTTGGCCCTACCTTTGGTCTTCTTCTCATTCCTGAAGACCAGGTAGGCCACCAAGGTGCTGAACGCTACCAGGGTGCCCAGGGCAAGCCTTCCAGCCACAACAATGCCCAGCAGTGGCACTTCCATCCAGGTGGTCAGGAGTCCTGCAGGTCATCCTTTGGTTAGATTCCAAGTGGGCAGGGACCCCAGCTCTGAGATGAAATACTCAGTTTGCACTACTCTGTCCTCCCTGCTCAAGGTGGCTGGGACAGCTCATTCGCAAGGGCAACAAATCCTCCCATTTCTGTACTGTGATTCCCCATCCACTGGAGGCTTTGCTGGGCCACTTACTAGCTGTGCTCAAACCTGGAGTCGTAAGTGAGGCACTGGTGATACCCATGTCATTGGTAGCTACCACAGACAGGTTGTGTGCCAGGCTGCGGAGCTGCAGCTACACGGTGTGGTTGGTGAGCCAGGGGTAGTTCTCGGCATCCAGTACCAGGAATTCGGAGGTGTTGACAGTCACTGGCCCATCCTGGTCCATCTAGGTCACACTGGCAGGTGGGTTGGCACACACGAGGGCAAAAAGGACAACCAGGAGGCCCTGGCCCTGACCTTCCTGGTACTTGGCCCTGACCTTGGAAATTTCCAGCTTAACTGGTGCAAAGCAGAGGCTTTGCACATGCCCTTTGCATGTTCTTCCAATATGCTCTCACCACAGTCCCTCACACTCCTTGCCCTTTCTTCCCAAACCCAGAAAGGACCTATTTGGATGGCTGGGTCCACCTTATGCATAGCATTTTGTAGTGATCAAGAGTATAAACACTAGAGCCAAAATGTCCAGATCCGAATATTGGCTCTGCTACCCACCAGCTGTATAACCTCTGCCAGATTAACTTCTCTGTGCCTGTTTTCTCATTTGTAATATGGGGATATTACCTCATAGGATTATTGTGAGGATTAAAGTGAGATAATACTTGCAAAGTGCTTAAGTGTTTGTGAAATGTCCTATTAGACCACCTGCCAGGTGGCTGATGGGGGTCCCTGGGCAGAGACCCTCTCTCCCTGCCCACTTCAGGGACACTCACATTGCACACTGAGGATGATGGAGACATTAGCTGACTTACCACTGTCCAGGTCCTGCAGAGAGCACTTGAGCTGGGCCCACTGGGCAGCTATGGTGAAGGTGATAGTGCCTCCACAGAAGGCGTCTCTGCTCACACTCAGCAGTCCTGAGGTGCTGCCCTCCTGCAGCTGTTTGTCCAGGTACAAAGCCAACTGGGGGTGCCCGGATCCTCTGTCATTTGGCAGGTGAAGACATGGCATTCATTCTCCAGAAGTGCCCACTCAGTCCAGGCCTGGCCGTAGATTTGTGGGACCAACTCCTCACAACCTGAAACACAGCAGGGGATTGTGGGGTAGGGTTGGTTCTGTTCTGTGAGGAAGATGAAGTCCAGTTACAGAGAGGCTGTAGGTAGAGAGACTGGAGTACCTGGGTTCTCTCACCAAGGACTGGCTGGATCTTGGGTAGGTGAGTGAGGGGAACCCAGCTCTGATGACTGCGGCCTGAAGTGGGTATCCAAGGCAAAAGTGCAGACAAGGAAGGGAGAGAAGAGAGTCTAACCCCAGAGGGGTGTACCTGAGCTCAGAAAGGCTGGCAGGAGTAGCAGTGTTGTGTGCGGAAGGGTAGCTGGGCGTGGAGGCAGCGCTATGGTGGCCGTGGCCTGGGCTCCACGCTGCCGAGAGAAGACGGTGGGTCTCGATATCAGTCAGGGGAGATCAGGCAAACTTAGTAATTCCTCCAGGAATTAACTCCAGAAACAAAAATGCAGACCGACCCACAGGGGTGAAGGCAAAGACGCGAACATCCAAGCCCTAAACCCCAAAGCCGCCCAGCACATAACCTGTACCTGCGGGGGCAGACCTGAGCTCTGACTCTAGTGGACAAACAGGCGCACCCCCACAGACACACAGAAACCAGCAACCGTACAGCCCGTCCGAGGCCCAGACGCACACAGATACTAGGCTACATGTGCCCCTCCCCCAAAGGGACCCTCCGTCTCTGCCCTATCTCCCCCAGCCCCTATCTTTCGCCCTATGCTCCCTTTCTCATCCTCTGGTTGCTCTGGTGGATGCGGGCTGAGGCAGAAGTGATCCAGAAGGAAGGGGTCACCAAGCATTCTCGCCCCGCCCGGAGCGGCTCTCCTGAGTCCCAGCCCGAGCTCAGCCAGAGCAACTGCTCAGGTCTGATGAGCGCGGCAGAACGCTGCAGGGGCGGGGCTGCGCCAGGCTGGACGGATCAATGCCGGACCACGCAGACCTGCCCCGCAGCCCGGACCAGGTGGGCAGCAGCTCCCTCACCGCCACCCCAAGCGGCCGGTGACGTGCAGGCCTCCCTGCACTGGCAGAGGCGGCGGCTGGACCGAGACACAGGCGGGAGTCTGGGCGAGCCGCAGCTTTATTGGTTCAGGGCCTGCCCCTGGTCCCGCGGGCCGGCTCAGCACCCGTCGCGGGGGCGGTGCAGCTGTCCCATCACGTCGGCCAGCATGCGGTTGCACAGTGCGGCGTACGGGTTGAGCAGCACCAGCTGGCGCCGCGCGAAGGGGCTGCCCAGCCGCGCCGCCCGCTCGAAGTCCTTGCGGGCATCGTCGTCCCGGCCCTGCAGCCGCGCCAGGAGCCCGCGCTGCACGAAGCCCTGGCGGGCGGCGCGGCCCCGGCCGCCGCTCAGCGCCAGGGCGAGCTCCAGGTCTTCCAGGGCTCCTGTGGGAGGAACGAGCACAGAATCCGGGCTCAGAATTGGGGCCCTGGGCTCGACCATTCACAGCCCGCCCGCCCTTTATCCTACAAGTAGGTATTGTTACTCCCATTACGCAGACGAAGACTGGAAGAGTTGGTAAGATATACCCTAGCTGCATAGCCCGTTAGTGACAGAGCTGGGACTGAAGTCCAGGTCTCCCCTTGTCCCACACCAGAACGTGAAGGTTGCTGGGAGAATTTTGAGTGGTCACCATGTTCATGAATCTGGCCCGTTGCTGGCGTGTAGCTTGCAGTTTATTCCACGCGTATGTATGTTATTAACCATCCACCTTATACCACGTGACTAACTGAATCCCGGAGTCCTAGACAGTTATTAACTGACAACTGTTTCTTACAGATAGAGTCCATTTCTCTTTCTTTTCCTTCTGAAGGCTTTTCCATTGTGATTTAAAACAGCTCTCACTTGTTTTCTCCACTGACTGCCTGCCTTTCCTCATTCTTAATTTCCATAATCTTCATTATTTTGTATCAGATATTCTTTGTAGGAGGTCTTGGAGCCAGAGCTGGCCTGCCTCATTTTTAATTTTTATTTCCCTCATAAAATAGTGGAGTTAGGCTTCTGAACTCAACTGCATGCAGCCGGCTTGTATCTACTATAGCAGGGGTCCCCAAACCCTGGGCCTGTTATGCTCTGGGTGCCCAGCAGGAGGTGAGCGGAGAGTAAGCTAGTGAAGCTTCATCTGTATTTTCAGCTGCTCCCCAGCGCTAGCATTACCACCTCAGCTCCAACTCAAATAAATGGTCATGCATTAGATTTCTCATAGGAACACGGGTCCCTGGCGCCAAAAAGGTTGGAGACTGCTGTCCTATAAGATCCACTGAGCTGCGTTTCTTCTGGGCTCTGTTTCATTTCACGCATGTTCTCTTGTCTAAAGAGCCTGTCAGGGTGCTTGGGAGCTTTATTGTCATCCTGGAGCAAGACAGATCTTCCTTTTTCTGTCTTTTACTTCCCAGAACCTAGGAAGGGCTCTGCTCCCTGCTGCATCTGCACCTGGACCTTTGAGAAGCTCTCTGATGACAGCATGTCTCGGTGGCCCTCAGAGGAATTAAAAGCCTCCTCCAGGCGAATCGCTTCTAATCCCCTCTTGGGTTTTGGTCTACAGGTTGTTCCTAGTGACCTTTACAGCCCTGGCCTGGC